GGGCCTCGACACCGAATGGGACAAAATCATATTCGGAGCCTAGACCCCTGTATTTGCAGGCTTTAGCTTTTTCAGCCGCATCACAAGCCGCACCAGCTCTGTTGTTGGTTCCAAATTTTTTTCGTAAATTGATTGTCATTGATGAAATAAATATTTTGAATAAATAATAAAAATACTAGTGATATTAAGAGTTTTATAAGAAACTTGTTTATAACGTTGTTTTGTTTTAATTTTGTAGATAATATGACAAGTTTTATATTATTCACATGGTATGAAAATGCTGACTTGCTATGATACAAATTTTGCCAGACCACCTCTACTATCTATTGTATATCTATCAACTTCATATAGCATCCCCAGCTGTCCACGATTTATTAGTATACTCTGCTACTGCCACAATTGCTGAAAATCACTCGAAACGTCATTTAACGTAAATATTGTAATACATTGATTTATTTACAAAAACACAATCCTGTCGTAACAGGTGACCTTAAATCAACACGAATGCATAGCCAATAAAAACGTACACACGAAACAAAAAACAAACATAAGAAATTAATTAGGAAAAACAAGCTAAAGAATTACGTAATGAAAAAAATATTACTATAGACACTAAAAAATCGTAGAACTTTTGTCAGATCACTCAATAAGGTTCGTTACCTATGTAGTTCGTTGACTAATGTAATACAGCGAAACATGTGCCCTTTTCAGAAGGTTAGTCCTAGAAGGTTAGTAACAGCGGACAATGTCGCCTTTTGAGGTATCCATCAGGCACATTTAAGCTAAGGCACTGTACTACTTCGCAAGCGCACTGGTCGTACTCTAAGTTCATTGTAGCCCACAGAACAGGTCGGAATCATCAGTGGGTTAAAAGGTTACACACCGTACATCCTAAGATGTGCATCAAAAATTAGTTTTGTACCCACTCCAACATGACCCTTTACTTAGTTTCTCTTAGGTGTGACTTCTCACCAGCGCATTATATAACACTCTCACAGTTGTGATATTTGTGAAATCCAATCATTGTCTCACAAACCCAAGTTTTTAATACGATTTTCGACAAATCTGTCTTCTGTGTTCACAAAACATCAAATTTGACGTTAATACAACGCTGAGATTTGTACGTTTCTATCCAAAGCAATCATAACCAGCTGCCCACTCAATTGTTTCCGAACCAATTCGACTTAGGGTCCTTCAAGAGCGTACCAATTTTTAAAACTAAACAATTTTTAGAGCCCGTTGCCCGTTTGCTCCTGCTACAAAAAAAAATTAACAGTCTCTAATTGTATTAATTGTCAAAGTTCTCTTATAAGTTGCATTATAATAATAATTTGTAACTATTTTAACTTAAAAGTCATTGCGACTCAGTAAACAGACATTTTCATCAAAAACTCAATTTCCCCGAGACCACGACCATTTGCAACCTACATTCCGACTGGTTTCTTTCAGTTGGTTGAAAACCATAGCACACAACATTTATAATATGTAGATTAGAAAATACGCAAGCAATTCGTACATAATTAATAATCCGACAAAAAAGATAAGAATCGATTACAACTTTAATTAAAGGTAAATCAGTTTCAAATGTGCCAAGGTGATAAAAAACAAAACAGGACTGAAAACGGTTCGATGCGAAAAGTAAATTCAGTAATCAGTTGGAAAATTCCACCTAAACGGTCTCATTAATATTAATTATACAAGTTTAGTGAAACCAAATGTATAATTAGTACATAAACGATTTGTTTCTTGCAATACTGCTTGATTGATGTTGATGTAATCGTTTCCATTACAGCGCCCCAAACACGCAAATTTTTCATACAAATAGTTTAAACAGGTTACCTTTTTTCTCATGGGTATATATAATAATTTTATTTATTGGCAAAAACAGATAACACAACAAACAAGTATCCCAGGACCCTGTTGTGAGAACTGTATTTCAGGAGCCTGTGTAGCGATATCGAGAATTACAATCGTTTAAATAAATAAAAATTAAATAAATTTATAATTTAGTAGATGTTATGAACGAATATTTTTCCGAAAGTAATAAAAACTTTTGTTTTAGCATGGGACCAGACTAAGAGATACTAAGATACTTATGTATCAATATGTATTTTTTTTATTAAATATTATGTTTTTCCAAGATCAATAGGTAACATATAAGTTTTTCAAATGTTTTAATGGTAATTTAAATTATACCTGTAAACAAATCTAGACTACATATTTTGGGGAAAAAATAAAACAAGAAATTATGTGTAATTATTTACAAACATTAATCATTTATTAAGACAAAATATCACCTTCTATTTTAATATAGCGAAGGCACAATATAACTTGTACATCAATTATTAAATCAGGGCCGTTTTAATGGATCTCTAATATTACAAAGCACATGATGTTTACACACGTTCTCAGACCATTAAAAAATCACAAGCAAGTAGGACAAGCCCAACTTTTTCGCTGTCGCATTGGAAAATGTATTAACTCATTACGTGATTATCTCAATCGAATGGGTCGAGCCTAAAAAAGATTTTGTCTTAAAAATAATCGTTTTAATTCCCGGAATTTTTTCTTCGAAGATTTGTTTGAAGCATTTAAAATATAATATATTGACATAACTTTAACAAGGAACACACTAAAGAGCTGCTCCCAGTTTTATCTCCAATGCAGTACCTAAGTGTTATATTAACATTCCCATAAATGGTTATGCCTTTTATAAGAATTTTTTGTTGGACTGAGCGATGTTCATGCGCTGTAAACCCTAGTGAAAAAACAATATTTGTGAACATTATAGTTATTAAATTATACGGTAATAGCTCCTATTTTGGAACTGGATTAGACTTTATTAACTATGCCTTACAAGCAATACTACAAATTATACTTTATTTAGCTGGTTAAAAGTATTACACGAATTTATTTGGAAACCAAATATGTACTGGATTAATAAAGTGGCCATGTTTACACGTAAACCAATCGTCGTTATTTTAAAACACAGTTAAATATTTTGTTCGGTAAATCGCATGTATTATTAATTTATATTCCTTTGAATATCCGGCTCTTCAATTATTTTTGCACAGCAAAATTATAAAGATTCAGAAATTAGTGACATGATAAGAATACTTATATACTCTATGTCACTTCCCTAAAACTCGGGAAATTATACAAAATATGGCTTTTCTATTGTATTATGAATTTGATTAAAATGCATTACATTAAAAGCATAGACTAGTCACATTATATCTAGTCGTTGAATTATCAAGGATAAGGTATTTTAATGAAATTTTGCCAACGTGCCATTACTTAAAAAATAATACGTATAATAAAAGTATATTAATTAAAATTACTGGTTTGTAAACTTTACGCTAAACGTAATATTATAAAATCGCCATATATATCCCATAAAGACTTTTTTTATTTAAATAGAAGTTTCCTTAATGCAACGACTTCTAATTATTAACAGCGCATGGAAAGGTTTTAGCACCTTTGGGAACTAAAGTTTAGGCACACTTTAAGGCTAGTACTGGTATATTCTCATTGCATTATGGCCTTATTTCTCTATGGGCAATTTCTATTTCTAAGATTTATCTATGGGTTCATTACTTCACCAAACTTTAAACTATAGTGAAATTTGGGTAATTGTGCGTTTGGGAGCATTCATGTATTACGTAACGTATTTTTTGGTCCTTTTGTAAAACGTTACGATGCGGGGCGGGGATTAAATTGCGCGTTATTGTTAATATTATTTTCGACTTACACCACATAATAGTAACTAAAGAGTCACTAGGTGATCACGAAACGTTTTACTATACTTGGGTACTGAAAAACGTTACGGCGAGTTACATGGGGGTGAAGTCAATAATCTTCAAAAATTGTGTTACGTAATACTTGAACGCTCCCTTTTATATTGGCACGCAATTTGCCCATAGAGTTGACATAATAAAACTGTCACTAATAAGTTATAACTATTAACATTAGCCACACTCAGAGTCAACTACTCTAACTTTGAGTACGTCTTACAAATTAGTTACATAGCAAACGGTTATTGAACCGAATAAATATTTATAAGCGTTAATCAAAATAAACTATTTAAACTAGTCGCGATTAACTTAATTACACTTTGGTAATAATTACCTATGATTTTAATAACTATAATTAAAGTGAGACTGTTCATTGTAGGAACAACCGATTCTAAAATTTAACCGTCCGTTAGGTAGTTTAACGATCGGTTATTAAAACAATGTTTTATAAGAGCGATGTATAAAATTAAATATTTACAAAAAGTATGAGTAGAACTGCACCTGGAATTTATATAACTAATCACTTTTATAATTTTAATACGATTAAGTATCTTGGCTTAGATTAAAATTTCATTTGTACTTGTACAATTTTTTATACATTTATGGAATTTATGTGATGGATAAATTATGTGTTACATTCAAAAGCGAACTGATTTCTCACTTTATTAGTCAAGTATAGCCTCATTGTAAAGTTTTCGTATATCTATACGTTTTTTACGTCTAAATATATTGTTTTATAGAAATTGTAAGATGGAAATTCAAAGGCTTATATTTTTAAACTTTCTAACATTTGAGTGATTTTCTGTTTCTACGGGCATTTTCTTTAGTATAATTTTAATATTTTATATTTTTAGAATTTTATCAAAATTTAACGAAAATGGTAGCTTTTAGCTGTGGTTTATAAGCTAAAGAATTGCCACTGCTTTATTCTGATTTATAAATATTATAAAAAAAACTATAATTATCAGTAAATTATTCAAATGTTTATTGTACGCATCAAAGTAAAGGTAAATTACCTACGTCAATCAAACCTGTTATTATTTCTTCCCGTCACGATTAACGCAAAATTGAAAATCAATTTAATCACAGGCTAAACTAATTGCGTAATTACAGGCCTTTTATGGGCCGTTTCAATTTACCTTGACTAATGAAGTAAGAAAGCGAGTTAATAATTCTAATAATAAATAATTAAAACTATTAATGGATTTAGAGTCGCACCAACAAGTAGATGAGGGGGAAAAGGATTAACGAGGGTCTGATTGAATGGCCACTTCCAGGTAGGTATACTGTAACAAATTAATATTTATTACAAGTTGAAAAAATTTAACCAGTTTTTAAAGTTTTTAAAGCAAATTGATTTATAAATTAATTGTAAAAAATGCTTTGATAATCTAGATAATTATCGTAATGTTGTGGGAATATTTTAAGCCAACAGCATTTAATTCATTGTTCAAGTAATTCTCCTCAAAAATTCTGCCCAAAACAAAAGAAGCTTCTTTTTGTTTTGGGCAGCGAGACAAACGTAACACAAAACCAATTTTTTTTAAATTAATTTCAGCGTTCTTAGCTATGAATAAACATATTTATTCCACTTGATAAATAAAAGCATTCCTTACCTGAAGCCGGTCTGATGTACTGCGCTTGCGCTTCTAAAAACCAAAACAAAAAATCAAAAACTAAAAAAAAAGTGTAAGTTACTTAAAAAACTCAAAACAAATATCGTGTTTATAAATCAAAATGAAAACAAAAATCGTGTTTATAAATCAAAATTAAAACAAAAATCGTGTTTATAAATCAAAATTAAAACAAAAGCGTAATATTGTCCCTTAGAACTCAGATAATAGAGCACAAATAACCAACTCACCGATATCAACAACGGTGGGGTTGGTGTGTTCGCTCCAACTCTTGTTATTCTTCACTTTGAGTGTGGCCTCGTATTTGCCGGCGTCGATTTCAGCATCCTCTAGAGAGTAGATCATCTCGTACTCGTGATGTCTCCGATCGGGAAGTGGTACACTGAGAGTCCTCCATTCTCCTTCCTGCAAAATGTTTTAATTAACGGTTATAGCACGGAATATAGTCCATTTAAGTGCGCTAAACACTTGCACTATACATATTGCGCAAATTATGACTCCCATGTGTCAAAATTAAATTTATTAGCACTCGTTTCTGCACCTTACCCTAGAATTCAGAGGCGAGTTTTGATATTGTTTGCTTGTATCCTAACCTCTCTGAGCATTGATTAATAAATAAATAAAAATTAAAAAAAAACATTTAATTCAGACCATTAAAAAGTCCATATATTGTTAGTAACGTAATACTTATAACTATGTTAGTAAAATTAAAATTAAAATTAGCAAAATTATTAAAGACACAAAGAAGAAAACATTTAATTTATATATTTACGTTGATTCGAGGCACCAGGTACATGGGCATGTATATGAACCCAATGCCTCAAAACAGCACATTCGGGTTTCCCTATAACCATCAGGATATTGTTAGTACTCGCACGAACCCCACGCATCAGTGAGGCTGTCCGTTTGCGGATGATTGACGAAAAATCATCCACGTGTGCATCCGCAAACATGGCTCCATTTATTTCCTTCTATCATTAAGTTTTTCAATTCGGAAATTTTTATATAGTTCGTGGTGTTAAGTAATATATCAGTCGGCGCTTTCGGCATTTAAGCATTTAAGAATTACTTGTAATATGACATATTGCATTATTATATACTTTGGTCACACAATGCGTAGAGGCGACGAGAACATAAAGAAGTTAGGCAAGGATAAGAGAACAGTGAAGATCGTGTGAACGTTTACCGACGAGATGGACTGATTAAGTCAAAGACTCGTCCGCAAAATTATACAACGTTAAACAAGCGCAGGCGCAACCGAAATTGGTAGACAAAAATTATTCTCGCCAGTTCTTACTATACAGCTGATCACGATACTCATACATGAGTTACCGATTTAGAGAGAGACATTGTAATATTATGTTTAATATAAGATTTCTTTGGCATTAATGCTATATATTTTGTTCTAATTACGTTATAAGATTCTTAAAGTTGTTCTTAAGATTAATATTATTAATTTATTATTATTAATTTCAGCTAGTTCAATAAGGTAAAAATGTCGTGTCATTGACACGCTTTTGTACCTTTGCATAGCAGCTTCTGTGGGCTTCTAAAAATAAATTACTTCGAGATAGTTCCACATCTTTACTTTAGTTCTTACCCCGTTCAAATCCCTCAGTTGTAGTTCAATTTCCTCCAACGGCTGGTGAGAGTGGATAGTCCAAGTAAGTCTTGGTCCATCATTGCTGAAACTTTCGACTACCGGACTCTGTACGAGGTCGATGGACCTGTTGTGCTTGCCGTTCTGATTTTCCGCCTGAAAGGGTGGTACGTAGTTGGTACTTTCATTAAGTAAATTTCATTCCAAACAATCATTTTCTAAAACGCTTTTTAAAACTTTTTCGCACTTTTGTAGGGTAAAGTGGTGGTTGGCTAATATCTACAAAGTTCATACTTTAAGTAAGGATTAAGTAATGTATGTAAGAATGTTAAATGAGTATTTTAATTGGACAATTAAAGGTAAAATGGCAGTCATATAATATCTGATTTTTAGTTATTAATAATTCAAAGCAAAACTGTGTTGAGCCGTGAATGAACTCGTTTCATTAAATATATCTAAATCAAAGATCTTTATCAACCAGTAACTATTATTTATTAATAAAACAAAATTATTATTATTATAACTAAATGTATCGACGGATTTAAAGCAAATATATATTACGATATACTTTAAGATACAAAACTACGGAAAATCTCTTAGGAGTCACTTACTTCACAAGTAAAAGTACCAAAGTCTTGATCAGATGTGGGAACGACAGTCAAGTTGGAGTGTTGGGCTTCAGTGCTGATGATGTACTGGCTTGAGGAGTCACTGATTAATCTGCCGTCTTTGTACCAGCGGATGTGAGAACTGTAATGTATGAGATCATCTTTGCTATAATTAAGGAAAAAGGCGCTTTTTTATAAATTTTTACAAGTAAATTAAGTAATCAATTAAAATTATTACTGTTATTACACTATGAAAAGACGAATTGTTATAAGAAGGTTTTAATATTAATACATAATCTACATCGTAAATTGAGTTTATAATTAGAACCTAAGTAAATTACATTTGTATGTCTCTAAGTACATTGTGATTGTTTTATAATGAAAAATATCGCTCACTGTCTCACTTGTTAATAATAAAATAAAAAAGTTAATATAAGAAATCCTAACTAACTAAAATAAGAGGTTCTTCGTTCTTTCTTAAGAATTACGGATATGTTGCCGGCCTTTAAGATAATAAGTATACTCTAAATGATAAATATGGAATTAATATATATAATACTTGAATATTAACTAAAATAAAGGTATTATAGTAAAATACTACGTACGCCAGTTCATCATGGATGGAGCACTGCAGCACAGCTTCAACATTGATGTCAGAGTTAATGACAGTTCTGTGTACATGGACTCTAGGTTTGCCTGAAACAAATTAATTATAAAGTTATAGTTTTAAAAAAATATTCTCAGAGACTTTTATCGATATCAAAAACAAAATGAAATAAATGCACCACCGATTTTAGAGGAGATTACTCAAATTGAATGTATATAGACAAGATTTTGAGGACGTATCAATCTTAAACATATTATTTTGCCCAATTAAATCTAAGATCTCCAGGAAAATAACCACAGTACATTGATATGCGTGTTAAGTTATCGCTACTGTCGAGGGATTTAATATAAAATTCAACAGACATTTCGTCGTAACTAATAATTTAATTTTAAGTATTTTTAATAATAGTTATACTCACGCAAAACATTGACGGTGAGCTCGGCCTGCGCGTGAGCAACATTGTTGAATACATAGCAGTAATATTTCCCTGAGCTTTCGTGCTTCACATCTCGTAGGAGTACACTGTTAGCCGTGAATTCTCCGTCTTTTTCTGATAAACGTTGGTTTTGGTTCTGAAATATTTTTTTTAAGTTTAATATGAAATTATTATGTACGACGTATTTATTATAAACATTTTTATATATATAACATGGGCAAACGGGCAGGAGGCTCATCTGATGTTAATACCGCCGATGGACACATTGCCAGAAGGCTCGCAAGTGCCTTGGCGGCCCAAGGACCCGAAGTCGAATTGGTTTGAAATACTGTTTTCCATATGAGTAAAATTATTTTGATTCCATTCAGTAGTATACATAATCCTGTAAGCGTTAATTTTAAATATAGAACACATCTCCGAACAACTAAAAATCTAACTATAAAACCTATTTCTATGGTCCAAACACTGATATTTTTATTACAGCTAAAAAAATTAATAGATAGTAGATGATTGACAACAAAACAATAATAAAATAAAATAAATCAGTGGCGCTACCACCTCTTTAGGTCTTGGCCTCAGATTTCTGAATCTGTTTCATGATCATTTTTAAATCTAATAGGCAAGTAGGTGATCAGCCTCCAGTGCCTGACACACTCCGTCGACTTTTTGGTTATAAGACATGTCGAATTCCTCACGATGATTTAAGGAAATGACGGTGAAGGCACCGTTCGAGCAAATGTTAAATGCGCACATAGAAAGAAAGTCCATTGGTGCACTTCCGGGGATCGAACCTACGACCTCAGGTATGAGAGTCGCACACTGAAGCCACTAGGCCAACTAAATAATAAACACTATAAATGAATAGATTTTATTAAAAAAATTGTTTGACTATTTCTCTAAGTCTCATGAATAGTATTGATTAAAAGCAAAGTTTCATTGATAGGTAATGTACATATAAATCAATCACACAGGCGTTATCTATCCTTGTCAATTTGTTACGCACTTTGATTCAATTGAATCGCGTATACTTTGTATAAACAACTGCTTAATACAATTTAAATGGATTTAAGGTTAGATTATTAATCGCGATAAATTGTTTTTTAAATGTTTTTAAAGAAATGTTGATTGGCTGTGTTACTGTTTTAGCATTGTTAACAAATGTTTCTCTGATTTTTATGTTCTTATCCTATAAGTTGGATTGCGTCGAAGTTTCTCGAAGAAAATTTTCTGACAATCATTGACATCACACAACTTGTACACAATAAATTAGTTATTTTACTGTATTATCTTTGTTTTATATTGTACTAAACAATTTAATATTTCTATTGATTCTCGAATTTATTAGATAATTAAACAACTTGATGTTTCGACTGCTTTATTAGAATTGTTTCAGATGGTGCTTGTCACCCATAATAATTTAATAAAATTGTAAATGGCTCTATTATATTGTAAATTGTTTATTGTTTTACTATGCAACTGGGATAGATTTTGCGTTTACCAACTGCAAAGTTCACGCAAATTAAGTGAGAAAAAATCCCATAAAAAACGACTTCGGCGCATGTCTTGACACTGAATTTTCTGAGAACTATTAACACCAATTTATGAAAGCATAATATTACTATTATTATTTGCTTCGATTCGCGTACCTAAATGTATTTGTGGCTTAACATTGCATCACAATGAACGTGGGCGGTTATCTTGCGTTCAAGATGTTACTCATTCATTATTGAATCCGCAATTTGCATAAACATTGCATATACTTTATAAGTACCGAAGATTATCGAAGCCTTAAAGAAAAGGATTTTTTTCCGCGAAGCGAAGTCAGAATAAAATATGTCTAAAAAATGTCTATTCTTGTTACGTAAGTTTGGCGACAACCGCGTCGTTCGTAGCCGGCATACGTAGGCATTGCAAGAAATGCGCGAGCAGAGGAATCGGAGAAATTAGCGGAGACAAAGCTTAAAAGCGCTTCATCATTATACATTTTAGATGCCAAAATATTATTTATTACATACTATTGTACCATAATCGCATCTTAAACGTTGGTATGCTCTCCAGGCAATATAGTTTTTTGTTTCTTTTGAAGTTATACTTCTTTTTGGCGCGTTAGGGAAAATTGATGAGTAAATTTTACGATGCGCGTGCACACCTTCAATAAAAGCCGACACCCTGAAGTTAGCTATAGTCAACATTTTAGTTTTTTCTATTGTTAGTGTCATTTTTTCTACAAACGTAGAATAAATTGATCTTGTTACGCCAAAGAAGTATAACTTTTTACACACGTACACACGCGTTTTTGAAGTTATACTTCTTTAGGCGCGTTATGAAAAATTTATGAGAGTGAAATTTTACGATTCGCGCGCACCTGTGACACAAAATTCGGAGTGTGATTATAGCGTGCGCGAGCGAGATAGGAATAAGACAATCTACAAGTAAAAAGAAATAGAATATGCGTGAAGTTCGTATGCCAACAATTTTGAATGACCATAATGACATTTGTCATTTACCTTTTAAACAAATAAAGGAGTTTTAATTAATTTTTCAAAGAAATTTATTAATTTTATATTGTGCAATACTGCCAAAGCTACAACATACTTCTTAGTGTTTGGTAGAGATGTTCTAAATATATAATTATATATACTTTTAACTAAATAGAATTTATGTTACACTTAATGTAAGAGAATAATAATAAATATTTATTTATTTAATTTTTCAAATGTAAACTGAACTTAATTGACTATAATGACTCCTTTTCCAGTCTTTGATTATTTAATTGTAATTAATTATTTGCATGCAATCAAAAACTATTTTTAATAATGCCAAAGAAGTATAACTTCTTACGCGCGTACATAAGTACACGCACCCTTTTTTTTTTTGTTTTGTTTCCTAACCAACTGACATAGCAACTAAGCCCGAATTGTCACTGACTCTAAGAGTTATTATTATTACAATAAATGTTGTAAAGAAAAATGTGTGTTGCTGAGATACTAAAAAATATCGATTCCTAAAAAGTATTTAGTTATTTATTATTGTTACTTTAAAGTGTTTCTCAATACTTAGAAACCGTTGAATGAAAGTTAATTCATTCATATTTGCGTCAACAGTAGGTACGATAAAATCTAGTAATGTATTTTCGTCCCAGCTTCCGCGTTCAACATGTCATATCAAAGATGTTAGTGTCAATGTCTGTTTGTTTGTATTGTACACAAGTATAGCCGGTTTCAATATACAAAGTTCGTACCTTCTAAGAAAACTATATATATCTAAGTTTTAAAATATTTTAATAGAATATTTATTTAACATTGAAATATAATTTGTTTGCGCCGACAATTTACAAAACACAAAAAAGAAAATAACTACTGCGTTACGAAACAAAGAGTATTCCTAAAAAAGTTTATTATCATTCGTGAGTCATATAATTATGATATACCTAATCAAATAATAGAAATAGACTTACCCCATCAATACCACCCCAAGACCAGAGGATCTGTGGAGGAGGAGATCCTGAGACCTCACAAGTGAGAAGGAGGTCCTGCCCTTCTCTTACGACGCCGTTGTCTGATGCGTAAAAGCCTGAAGTTGGACAATTTGACATAAGAAAACGATCAAATGTCGATGTATACAAATGCTAGTTGTGTTGATTTGCTAGTTCGATTCCTGGTAATAGCACGAATTTAAAAAAAAAATTGTTTTCCGCCTCTGATGGGTTCTGAGGATTCCGACAGAATGGCCGAATTTTTTTTATTTATAGAAGAGAGGGTAAACGGGCAGGAAGCACCTGATCTTAAGTGATACCCATGGACACGCTCAATGCCAGAGGGCTCGCGACTGCGTTGCTGGCCTTTTAAAGAACTTGTACGCTCTTTTCTTGAAGGAATCTAAGTCGATTTGGTTCAGAAATACTTCAATGGGCAGCTGGTTTCAAATAAGTTGTGCTAAGTTGTGGAGCGACGGACGTCGAAGTGATACGGGTGGAATTTCGTATTATGCCTCGACGTCCGATGATGAAACTTTGATTTACAATACGGAATATTTGTGTTTTAAAGGTACACTTACGAATAATTTTAGCTGACTCCAGAATAGCAATGTGGTGTTGAATAGAGGGTGGATTCGCCTGAAGTATCTCACACTTGTAGAAACCGCTGTCCTCAAATTGTATGTCTTTTATGAGGAGGTCAGTGGAGTTCGCCGCACTGGAATTCAAAACAATCTATAGTATTATTATATCATTTATCATTTATTGCAGATAAGGTTTCCATTGCAACATTGTCAAATTGTGCTTTATTTAGTGTTTTCTTATTATGCATGGGCAACGTTTATACGTTCGAACCACGTGCACGGGTCTGGACCCATAGACTAGTCTTCCAATGTGCGGATTTAAGACTTGCTCGTACGGTGAAGGAAAATATCTCGAGGAAATTGGGATGACGTAGACCTACAAATCTATGACGTGTGACAGAAAAGGCTGATCACCTACTTGTTTATTAACAAATAAAATTCACTGTCACTGGTTTTTTTTCTTTTCTATGAATCACGTTATAAGTGTTATAAATAAAGAGCATCGAGATATAAAAAATACACGTAGAATTGATAACCTAGTGTTATTCAAGTTGTTTTAAAATAGTTGAAATAAGAAATAATTAAGAAATAAGATGAAAATGGAATTCATAAACTAGACTTTATTTTCTGTCACCTTTCTGTCCTTATCTTTAAAATACTTATAAAAAGGGTGCTTGTACTTATGTACGCGCGTAAGAAAATAAAATTCTTTGGCATTAATAAAAATAGTTTTTGATTGCATGCAAATAATTAATTGCAATTAAATAATCAAAGACTGGAAAAGGAGTCATTATAGTCAATAAAGTTCAGTTTACATTTGAAAAATTAAATAAATAAATATTTATTATTATTTTCTTAAATTATGTCCAATGCCGTAGCATCTTCCGTGGGCAACTTCGTTCTGTAAATTTTGTGTCACGGTGCGCGCGCATCGTAAATTTTCACTCTCATCAATTTTTCATAACGCGCCAAAGAAGTATAACTTCAAAAATGTTCCAGAAACAGTTATTTTATAGTTATATTTCTAGTTGTAATTGTTTCAAGTTGGAAGCACTATCATTGAGCATCTAGTTTGACACAACTAAGCTAAGCTTAGTAAGCTTCACAAAGAACGTAGACAACTTTTTATCTTTACACAGATAATAAATAAAGTTAACTTTTATAAACATTCTGTCGGCAAATTGTTTTTGTCGGTGACAAGACTAATTATTTACTATGAGTTTGAATTAAGTTAATACACACATAAAGAATCTCTTTTGTCCTGAGATAGTCTCTAAATCCTGTTCTGTGGTTTTCATGGTACCGATAAAGAATTTTGAATTATTCCTTGTCCATTGAACAACAACACCATCTGCAATTAAAAAATAATACATTACACAAATGAAAAATATAAAATACTAGTAGACTCGGCCAAGCGTTGCTGTGGCTAAGGTTTTTGTTATATTACATAGTAGTAGACTATTCAAGAGAAACGGCAGGAGAACACCAATCCACCATGCTTTTTTGGTGGTTATGCCATTAAATTGTAGCTTATGTGAAACGTTGGTACTTTCAACACAGCGCCATCTGTTAGAATACAGCGCCATCTGTGACTATCAAATAATAAACAAATATTTTGCAATAAAATAATATTGAGGGTATAAATTGAGATGTAAGATCCTATCTTTTAAGTTGGATTAAACTACACACGGTGTGCAAATTTGATTGATGTCGGTTCGGTAGTTTAGGAGTCCATAGCGGACAAACAACGTGACACGTAAGTTATATATATTAAGATTAATATAAAAATTAAGCGGTAGATTAAAATTTATACGAATATTATTAATATGCATTTTTGAATGCTTGTAACGAATAAACTTGGACCGATTTCCAAATTGAATTAAGCCAATATGTATTTCCAAAATGTCCAAGTCCGCTAGTGGAAAGTAGGAAGACTGAATCTTGAACAATAAAAGTTTATTTTTCTACGTATTTTTTAATAATTCTTAATGTTTAATGTAACAGAAACCAACAACCTTTCCTATGTACTCGTTTAAGTCGACACTATAAATTCTAACAATTCAAATTATGAATTCTATCCGCTCGCCGGAAATTCTATTTTGGCGCCACCGGAAACGTCAACATTGAGATATCGATTATTACGTAATCATTACGATTGACTTATTAAATTATGATACAGTAAAATATATTTGTCACAAGAGATAGGACAAAACTGGACTTAACAACAATACATAATAAGGGGTCTTACCGGCTGGTTCAACTTTGCATTCCAATCTGACAGTTTTTCCAATGATAACACTATAGTTAGTCGCTTGAGTGATAATCACTGCATCTTCCACATCTTCATCGGCATCGTTTCCTGTAAGCGAATATACTTATCTATTAAAAACTGCCTTTACAGAAGATTCCAGTAATACTGACGTTGCGAACCTAATCTATCTAAGTATGAAAAATGAACTTCTATAGAAGAGCAGTACAAAAGAATTTAATAGAAAATGATGGAGGAATCAGTCTAATTGAACTATTTCACCTGAAGTACTCTTTCGTCAAATTGTGCTTCCGCTGTGATGAAAAGAGATGATGTATTTTAGGTGCAATGAAACTGGGTTATTTTTTATGAATAAATATATCTTTTTGAAAATTAGTATTGAGATTTTTGTTTTCAATCAATAAAAAGCATAATTCTAACTAATTTGACTATATTATGATGCGTTATCTGATAAATATTAGTATTAGATATTATTAATTAGTCCAATAAGTTACATACCCGCGAATACTAGACACATTTGTCCATTTATGTTACATGGAAATTAGTGAATTAGTTTAGGATTTTTACGACTTAAAAAGACTTCTATTATGTAACGCAAAAGACCACACAAGTAGTTGAAATAAGTACCTCCATCAGCATCATTTTGCGCTTCATCATCGCTCGCTTCATCAGCCAGTACATCATCATAGTTGATGTCTTCGACCTCACGGCTGTACATGGAATGGCGCGCTTCTGTAACAAAACAGAAAACATTTATTATTAATTAATGTTATTGTCGTAAGTCCACGGTATTATTCTTGACAACACCCCATAGTCCAAAATAACCGCAAACGAATGAATCTCTCCTAGACTTGGTCACCTTTACAAATGATCGTGTACTTATTAAGATACTTGTTGCCATGGTTACCATTCCTTTGTATGAAAATACCATCTTAACCATGTTTTATTGTAACTATTGCAGTTTATTCAATGCGCACGAGAGTTTTTGGGAATACATTTCTTTAAATTCCTTATCAATTACAATCTGATTACGAAATGCACACTTATTTAATCCGCTCAATTTCTCTTTATTCAATTAAATTTATCATTATTAACTGTCATTGTTCATGTTTGCTAAGCAACCGTTTGACTCAGTGATAATTTACATAAAACATTATCTCCGTAAATAGTAGTCGTATAATGGATAGCTTGCTTTGGACAAATACCGATGTTTGGTGCAAGTGAAAACAATAAATATAAAAACTTACGTTATGCTTAAGCGAATATAGCGTGTTTAAATTTCTATATTGTTTATCTTTTAGCGTATACTTAGAAAATGCACCTATCTATAACCTCTCTCGTCCATTTCACACTTGTTTTAAAAACTGACAGTATATAAAAATTTTGCACATACTATTTACTAACGTTTATAATTTATTATATTGTTTTAATATAATCCTGGTTGTACATAAGTGGTATATATGTAGACACATAGATAACCGTAATAGATGAAAAAAGGGAGACGCTAAAGAAATATCCAGATTTTTATTATTTGACAGAGTTGAAACAGTGTCGTATGACTGGGGGTAAATGTTTATATATTTTCACTGGAATTGTGATGATACTTCGCAGATATAATCGCTATATCTTATGAATGAAACCGTACGGAAAGCTATATAGTGATAGACTTTAAGTCGCTACTCTATTGAATGTAAGCTTTCCTTTTATGGACGTTAACTAGACATACATACAACCTTTGACTTACCCGTAGAGAAACTTCAAACAGCCAACACTTTGTTTATTAATTAAAATTCAAACAGTTGTCTTTGTTATTTATTTAATATTAGATATATAAATAGAAATTTAAGTTTACTTTCATCTTCATATATATGTTCTTGATTTACTTCACACATAAACAAAGTTATACAAGACTAAAAAATACAACTAAAATAAACAGAAATGTTTTTGAAGTGAAACTTCTTTATCGAGGTTGGAAAAAAATTTAGTGTAACATTTTTTCGTTACGCGTCACATTTTTCGGTTACGCGCCATGTTGCTTTTTGAAGTCAAACTTCTTTATCGGCGTTGGAATGAAACTTCTTTATCGACGTATGGGAGAAATTTTGTAGCAAATCGTCACGTTTTTCAATGATAGTAATAATTCTATTACAATTAATGAAATTCTATAATAATCTTCGTAGTAATAAGGTAAAATGAAATATTTGTATTCATGTCTATGATAATAAAAGCCTTTTGTTAAACTTTATCTAATTTAACGAATTTCTGTAAAGTTGCATATAGTAGATCATTTTTCGAAAAATAAGATCATAAAGAAGTTTCACTTCTTACGTGTGTACACCTAGTACACGCACAATTTTTTATTATTTTATAATTAGTACCAACATAAGAAAATGTAAACTATTATATATAAATAATTTATTTTGAATAAACTGCCAGTGTATAAACTAACAGAATAGTATATTTCATTACAAGTGCGGAAAGCCTGTCATTGCAAAGAGTTTCGACAAATGTCTACCCGAGCCGAGGCGCAGCCGAAGGTGAGGGTTGACAGTCGGAACAAGTAGCAATGACGGTTCCGCACGTGTACTGAACAACTATTTTTAATACAGTTGCGAAAAAATTATGCGATTCAATAAAATAATAAAAACACAATAAACTCAACTCACTAATCATTTATTTCTTATACAAATTATTGTTCACATATACATTGGTACAGTTTTTTATACTAACTGGAGAAGTTTTAGGTTGCATATTTATTTACTGTTTGAGACAAACTATTATTAATTTCGTATGATTGTTCATGTATATTTAATATATAATATAACAAACAACTAAACGCGCAAAGAACATTTATGGAAAATGGCGCCAACCGTAAAAGAATATAAGCAGATATTTTTTTTTCTTCACCCATTCTGGGTAGGCAAAGGGAACTATGCCCATACAGCCAAGTCTTCAGTACAATTTTTTATTGATATGAAATGAAATTTAATGAGATGAAATGAAATCTAACCTAACTAATTGAATCAAATCATTAAATCTGATATTGAAACAAAGCAGTAGCTTCTTTTTAGAAATATTTGCATGAATCATAAAAATTTCTATGAATTTTTTTTAGTCAAAACTTCGTGGTTGGTTTTTTCTTTTTAATAGACATTATTTTGACAGTTGGGAAAGAAAACGCACTAGTTCGGAAAAGGTAAAAAAAAAGCACGAGTGTGTAATAGCCCACATCCCGAACGCTATACGTCCCTGCAATACGCCACTTTTTGAGCAACTGTATTAAAATAATTATTTTTGCCGCGTTGCCAACCGTCATAAATAAACAGCGAATTAATAGATTAAAATTCTATTAACGCCTTATATACCAGTATAGTATTAGTAAATTTCAAGGCATAAAAGTCTACAATACACGCCCATCCGAGGTAACACCCACAGTTTATTAGTTTATCTTTGTATCGAAAGCTCAGCTCTAACTAACAAGGTTGTAATGGATGTGAGAAACAGAGATGTTTGCTTTTATTATTACCTCTTTTAAATCTTAAGTAGTTGGCCGAAAATGGTTAATTTTTTATATTTCTTCTAGCAGACCCGGCAAACGTCGTTTTGCCATGTATATTATTTCTGGAAACGTTTGGAGAGGGTTGAAAATTAGGGGTTGTATGTATTTTTCTATGCTGCACAAAAAAATCTAAACAAAAAAAATTGTCGAAAAAATTAAAACAAATTTTTTGGAGTGGACACCCCTTATCATTTAGGGGTTTGAAAGATAGATAGTAGCCGATTCTCAGACTTACTGAATAAGCATACAAAAATTCATAAGAATCGGTAGAGCCGTTTCGGAGGAGTATGGAACCGAACATTGTGACACGAGAATTTTATATATATAGAGATAAGGTTTTTGATGCTCTTTATACACATGTTTAGTCAGAAAGCTGAGTATCAGGCGAACACTAAAGCGTTTAAGCGTTGAAGTTTGGGTAAATAAGGTATTTTTAAATCTGGCGGTTAAAAAAAATCACTAAACATTTTTATGAAGATTTTTTAGGTTATACGAATCATTTCTTGAGGCTTTTCAAATATAGAGTAACAATAAAGTTTTGAAAGCTTTTTGTCCAACAACAATTAAAGTGTATTAGTGATTTTATAAGCAGCGTCTGTCGTCATTTTGTCTGTATGTATATTTATGAGTGAATGCTCTACTCTCTAGTGTGAATACTAATTAGATGATATTATGGGGAACGAGGAAAGACTGCGTGTCGGTTTGTTGAACGTGTTTGGAATTGGTATGTAATGGCTGAGCCGTAACTGATGCTATACGAAAAAATTAATAGCATTAATTCTACTGACACCTTATTAAAAAAATTATATCCAAATAGTATACTGATATTAAAATTAGTAATTATTTATTTTATTTTGTAGTTGCTTGTTTATTTTTTTCCATTGGCTTGCGTTTGGTCTAATATAATAGATGGGTATGTGTGTAACATTTGTGACGTCATATTTTCTTGTATAACTTTATGCGTACACGTTATTTTAGAACTTATAAATAAATAAATAAAATACATATTTTCCATCACGAACAGTTAGATTTACTGAATTAACCTATGTACCGATAAATACCAAGCGAACATAGATAAATAACAGATAAAACAATTATAATGACTAATAGATTGATCATACATAATGAATATTTATTAGAAAAATATCTATATTATGACTCAGTTTTCTGTGGTAATTTAAAGAACATTTATTACTTGTAAAGGTATAATACAATTGTTAAAAATTAAGGTACAATTTTATTTTGTAATTGTTAAAGTAGAATTAACGCTATAAACATTAATTTTTTATTTTGGGTAAAGCCTATTAGTAGTCCACAATAAAAGACGGCGAGTGCGTTGCAGTCATTGCAAAATCTTGTTGTTATAAGAACCAGTATTTTACCTAGTTTATATTATATTATTATTTAAATTATATAGTTTCGCTATATGTTATCATCGCTTTCACTGGAAACAAGTGTTAGTCTTAACTGATGTCTCTTCAAAGGATTTCGGTGTCGGCTTAGCACTAACCGTGTTTATTAATAAGGAATACATTCCTATCATACATAGATCTTGAATGTGTTATTTCATACTTTTAGCGGGCGTAAGCGTTTTATGTAGGACAACAAGTTTTATTATATTTTTGGAATTTATTAATTCATTAAATTTGTTTTAATTATTAGTGCGTAATGGCCACGCTAATTTGTTATACTTTCCTGTATAGGAATTATAATGTTAACTACATTATATGTTTTTTTATAATTGACCTGAATATATCAACAGGTAAACCTAAATAATAAACGGCTAAAATATAAGTCTTTCCTACAACTTTGATTTTGTTCCCTTTGGTGTAGAGACTCTTAGGCCGGGGGGTTCAAGTGCTAGGCTAAGACGCTAATTAAAGATTTACGTTACTGCCTGGTAGATAGTACTGGTGACCCCAGAGGTGGTGCTTTCCTCGCACACCGAATAAATATCGCAATACACCGAGGAAATTCAGACGGCATTAAAGGTACACTGCAACAGGGACCAAACTTTTAAATTTGTTTTAGTTTTCTTTATTTTTAATTAATATATATTTTTAATACGTAGGTTAAGAATATTGTACATACTCTTTACGAATATCATGTCATTTATAATATTTATTGATCCAAAGAAACATGTGTGAGTAAAATTAAAT